CCCTACACTCAGTATAAATAATGGATATTCCTTGTCCTCTATCTTATTTAGAATACCTCTACTCTTCAGATGCTTATGTACCACCTTCTAATTTGCTATTTAAATTAATCATGACCATTTTATAACTGTTCAACCTTGTACCATGACTTAAATTCCCTCTCCCAATATATTTATTGAGTCACCACTTCCACTCTCATCCAGCTTTTCTTGCTTTCTTTCCAAACCTTGTTGAGAAAGAGAGCTGAAGGAAGCAAAATGCACAGTGCCAATGAAAGCAAGAGCAGAACCACAAAATTTTGCCTCTGCGATAGGGACATTCTCTTGGGAGAGGGCAAGCGAGAACCTAGGCTGCAGGACCTGGGTGTCCAGGTCACCCAGGACTACTTTTGCATTTTACAATGAACAGAGAATAAAAATAAAATTCCTGTAGATATGCAGCTGTTCTTCCAAGTGATTAAACCTGAGTTCTGGGTTCAAACCACAAGTTTGTATGGTGACCTTAGATGCTGCCTAAGCCCGTCCAGGTAGCAGGTGGTATTCTACTGCTATTTCCAGATAGTTTTAACTCAACAAGTAGCAGAGCAGACAGGGTTTTTTGCCTGACTGAATTCAATGTGAACAAAACATGATTAGCAGATTCCTGTGCTTAGGGCCCAAGTTCCAGGTACTTGACCTATCATTACACCTACAGCAATAAATTAAATATGCCTGGAATGGTTTTCTGACACTTAAGTGAACAGAACAATTCACATCGATATTTTCAAACTATTTAAATCTCCAGAGAGCATGTATGCAAACTATTTAGCTGCTATGTTCCCAAGTCCATGCTGATTCTTTAACCATGTCTAGGACTTACACACAATGAGGCCAGACACTAGTGATATACCTCAGGTGTTGGTATCAGGGCCAAGGCTATTTAACCTCTTCATTAACAACCTGGAAGATAGGAGTAGCGCAACTTCTGCAAGTATATAGACAATACAACACTGGGGGGAGTGGCTGATAGACCAGAGGTTTGTGCTGCCCTTCAGAGGGACCTTGACATGGCAGAGAGAAGCCCCATCAAGTTCAAAGGGATATATAGGCCAATTCCCACACCTGGGGAGGAATAACGACAGGTACCAGCACACAACATGGACTGATCAAGTAGCTGGAAAGAAGCTTGGCAGAAAAGGCCCTGGCAGTGCTGGTGGACACCAATTTGTATGCAAGCAACAGTCTTGCACCAAACAAGGCCAACAGCCTCCTGAGCTGCATTAGGAGTGTTGCCATCAGGCTGAGGGAGGTGATTTTCCACTCTGCTCAGCACTGGTGAGACATCTGGTGTGCTGGGTGCAGCTCTGGGCTTCCCAGTACAAGAGAGACATGGACATAGAGCGAGTCCAGCAAATTGTCTTGAAGACGATAAATGGATCAGAACACCTGACCTACAAAGAGAGACCAAGAGCTAGGACTCTTCAGCCTGGAGAACAGAAAGTTCAGGGAGATCTTATAAATGTGCATAAATATCTGATGGGGCAAGAAGAGAAGACTGAGTGACAGTCTTCTCAGTGGTGCTTAAAGAAAGGACAAGAGGAAATTGGCACAAAGGGAAATAAAGGAAACTCCATTTACACATAAGGAGGAAAAAAACCCCAAACAAACCAACCTGCAAGGGTGATCAAGCACTGGAACAGGTTATCCTGAGAGGCTGTAGTTTCCATCCTTGGAGATATTCAAAACCCAACTAGACATGTGCCTCAGGAACATGCTTTAGTTGACTGGGCTCTGTGCAGTGCGGTTGAAACAGTAATGTCTCCACAGGTCCCTGCTAACCTCAGCAATTCTGTTTTTGCAGTTGCGAACAGGAAAACTGACACCACCGCCGCTACTCAGCTCTTGACATCCTATGAATTGAAAACCTGTCTAAAATGCTTTGCGCTTGCTATGAAACAGTAACAATCAGGGCATCATTTCATCTTTTCTGGAACCAAATTTCACACTTGAGTCTGGATCCAGCAACTGTTATGGCAGCTATGCCTACAAACCTTTGACTGGGGAGCCACATCTCCATTACATCACTGAACCATACCTGTGGTTGAATTGCACCTTTAATTTCAAGAAAAAGAAGAAAATGTGGTTCTCTTGCATCCATGACAATAATACCTTATATATGGAAATAATGGAGGAATGAGACAGCTTCTCTCAGGCTTAGGATGAAGCTAGCAGCTTCTTGCTTTCCTCCGATGAACTTAGCCACCTAACAAGTACAGGAAGAAGACCATAACCTACACCAACATTTTGAGCAAAGCTCAACCTGGTGGACACTCTCACCAATGCTTACCTAGCTTGTGGGTTTGATCTGGTAAGCAGAATTGTCAGTCGAACTGCTAAAAAGCCAAACAGTGTTACATACATGTAAGTTAACATTAGATGAGCTGGAATTCCACAAATTTCAGGAGGTCCTCAAAAATAAATGTAGCAGTTTATTCAATTTTGGGTTTAGCCATAGTTATTAAATCTAGAACCAAGAGCTGCAGGTCAGGTACACACCTTTTAAAAAAGAGTGAGGAAGATCATCAAGTTTATGACTGCATATCAAAGATGGTGGAAACATAAAGATTTTATGAAAAGATTTATTCAGTAACAACAAAACTTTCAGAAACCAGTTCCTAGTCAGACTGAGCAGAATTAAACGTGCACATCATTATTTGATGTACTAAATTATCTTCCTGGAACGAGAAGTGAGGAAATACGGCTTTTAGTCTTGTTCATTTACTTTGTTTACTTCCACGGAAGCTGGGTCCTGGAAAAAGTTTACAAAATTCATTGATACATTCGATAGAATTGCCCTTTCCACCAGCACTGTGTACTTAGACTGTAACTCCAGATGTTACAGAACAATCAGATATTAAAATAACTTTTCACATTTTTTTCCGTTACAAATTAGCATTATAACGATCTCTGTTCTTAAAGTCTCTATAAGCACGTTTTGCATCTGTTTTACTGTGTGGGATTCTTCCAAAAGGTTCCAGATCATTGAAGCAGGCATCAAAAACTTCATCCACAGCTTTTTCTGCCGTTTCTTTGCTAACTTTTCTAACAGCCAGAATGGAACGAATTGCTCTGTCTCGTACACAAGTCTAAAGTGGGAATTAGATAAAGAAAAATCTGTCATTAGTAGAAATTTGGTTTTTTTCAGATTTTGTCAAGTATTAACTCCTACTACATAGGCAATAATTATGTATCAGAGAAGAGTCAAACAATGCCTGTAATAAGCATCAAAGTACTCTTCTTGTTCCATCCTGTGTTAAGTATGTGTTTTAGTTCTCATGTGCAAAAAAACCTGTCAGATAAGTAAAAGAGATTCCTTAGAACAGGAATCAAAATACCATTTGGCATTTGTTTTAGGTATCAAGAATTTATACAACTTGACTTGGACACAAGAAAAAACATGTCAGAAAGAAACAGACATAAATACCAGCTAGTACTATTCCAACTGAAAGGCTATAAAACGTAAAGGAATGACTCCTTTACTGGCCTTCATTTTGATACCTCTCCTTACAGCAACTTTTGCTTACACAGTTTGTCTACTAAAAAATAATAAAAAAAAAGATGTAAACATCCCCTGCTACAAGCTAACTGCCACTCTAACATGAACAACTACTTGGGACTCAACCCGTAGTTTTCATTACTATCAAAAAAAAAAAAAAAAAAGTAATTCCTGTAAGACTTAACATGTGGTTATTTAGAACCCTCGTCATTCTCCTTCCTCCCTGCAACCCCTGTTTTTCGTTTGGTTCTTACCAACCATCCATTGTCGGTGGTCATGCTCTATGATATGACTAAGTATTCAGGAATTTCACCCCAACAAAAATAACAAGGTAGAAAAAAAAAGTTCATGAATCATTAAAGATTCAAGGTTAATTAAGAGAAAGTAATAAGTTCATGGCATCTACTTCTTTCTCTGATGTTTCCAGGTATGAAAGTGTAGAAGGCTGAGATCAAGTAGGTAAAGATGGCTCACAACAAATCAGTAGACTTTAACATCTACAGTCTTTACCTGATGGTGTCCTTTCAATCCAAATTTAAACCTGGCTATTTCATTCATCAGTGTACAGTCTCCACTGAGATTAGCAGCTCGAACCTATTAAGAAAAAAAAGCCACATGATCAGAGAAACACATGGAAAAACAAAGTAAAGAAAGCTGTAACAATTTTATTTCTTCAGTATCTTTCTGGTGACTGCTGGTAGAGAATATTCCCAAGGCTACTTGTACTTATTAAGTACATATTGCCCTTTATATCCACCCTCTCAGTCTCAATGAACTGCCAAGTATTACTATAGAACCTGTAAGTTTCTCCAGGGACCAAGTCTCACATAATCCCAAATCCCATGAATGAACGGAAGAGATCATATGTATAATATATATATGTATGAACTGCTAAAAGAACATGGAAAGTAATATTGTCCCCAAGAACAGTAACCCATCTGCTTTAGGAAAAGCTACATTTAAATGTGTATGTATGTTTTCACTTGCTAACTGTCTTGTCCTCTGCTTATTTCTTTTGTCTGCCAATTGTTCCACACCCCCATCCCTCAGGTAGGAAATATAACTAAAACTAGATTTCCTATAATTAAGTACCAGAATGAGAATAAATGCATGGAAAATATGAAATGTAAGAATTAAAAAGCTGACAAAAACTGTAAACACCATATATAAAAATAAGTATCGAAAGACCTGAAGCAAACAAATAATCTCAACAAGAGCAAGAACAAGCACTATCTTATTTTATGTATATTCTCTAATTTTATGCTTGAGGCTTACATGCTTTATTCTGCACTGTGTAAATGCTTAGACAAAAAATAGACGACAGTGAATAATTCTGAGTTACTGTATTGGGCAGTGGGGCGCCTGCTGGGATGGCTTCTGTGAGACGAGACAAGGGGCTGTCCCCATGCTGGACAGAACCAATTTCATCTGGCTCTGAAACGGACCCATTGCTGGTCAAAGCTGAGTCCATCAGCAATACCTCTATGATGACATATTTAAGAAAAGATAAAAACCACTACATGGCAGCTGTGAGACAGAGGAGTGAGAAGAACATGAGAGAAACAGCCCCACAGACGCCAAGATCAGTGAAGGAGGGGGAGGAGGTGCTCCAGGCACTGGAGCACAGTTTCACTTGTAGCCCGTGGAAAAGACAATGGTGAGGCAGGCTGTCCCCTGCAGCCCATGGAGATTGATGGTGGAGCAGATATCCACCTACAGCCCATGGAGGACCCCACACCAGTGCAGAGGGACTTGCCCTGAAAGAAGCTGCAGCCCATGGAGAACCCACACAGAAGCAGGTTTCCTGGTAAGCCCACAGAGGACTGACGCTGGAGCTGTTTCGGACTGTACGCTGTGGAAAGGACCCAAGCTGGAGCAGGTCTTGAAGAACAACAGCCCATGGGGAAAAAACCACATTGGAGCAGTTAATGAAGGACTGTATCCCATGGGAGGGACCTCACACTGGAACAGGGGAAGAACACGAGGAGGGAGGAGGAAGGAGGAGCAAAGACAAAGTGTTATGGATTGACCACAGCTCCCATTCCCCCATGCCACTTTGGGTGGAAGGAGATAGCAGAGTCAGGAATGAAGGAGTGAAATTAAGCCTGGGAAGACGGGGAGGTTGGGGAAAGGTATTTTTATTTCACTATCCTACTCTGTCATTAATTGGCAATAAATTAAATTCATCTGCCCCAAGCTGAGTGTATTTTGCCCATGACAGTAACTAGTGAGTGACCTCCATGTCTTTATCTTGATTCACGAGCTTTTTAGTCTTATTTTTCTCCCCTGTCCTACTGAGGAGGGGAAGTCAGAGAATGACTTGGTGGGTGCCTGGCAGCCAGCCAAGGTCAACCCCCCACCAATTATACAGAAAGGCTTTATTGATACCACATAAGGTTACTTCATTAAGTTTTATCTATAAAAAGATAACGAAAATATGTGACTATGACTCTTTTCCACAGCAAATATGAATTTAATTAATGAATTAATTTTTATGAAATCTGATTTGTTCTGTACCAAACTCATAACTGTGCTTCTCTCACATACTGTTCATAGGTGAAACCTGTGCATATCTTAAGTCTGGAATCAAATATTTTCTCATTAAAAAAACCCCACAACCAACCAAAAATCCAAAACAAAGCCACTGTAACATTATATCATTTTATATATTCTTTTAAAGTTAAAGAGCCACCTAATTCACACAGTCACAAGAATGTACTTTCATAGTATTAATCACAAGCGTAAGTTTTTTCTGTGGGAAAATGATATGGATTACATCAGAAATCAACTAAAAGCCTGTGAATACACAAAAGTCGTGTACACAAGAAGAATCCTTACTAGCCTGTGCTCAGTTTAATTTCACCTTGTAATGCATCAATTTTTAAGGCCTTTCAAGCAGCAAATTCCTACGTCCTCTGAAACTGACATGAAGTCATAACTAAAGTGTACTATTAGCAACACCACAATTAATAAAAAAATGTATGCTATAGGAAGACAAGTTTGTTGCTAACAAAAAAATGTAAACAAAAATAAGGTTACCATACTACTGTGATAATTACTGAACATACCAAGATTTGCAGGGGAGAAAAAGAACCCTATAAACATTTGATTAACGTTTGAACGTGTTTTCATCTCTAACTACTCTCATTTGTAATAACCACTTCTTGTTATGGTTACACTCACAGTGATCACATTCTATTTAATACGACATTGACTTAATATTTGTGAAAACTAAATATTTGTTTTCTGCACGAAACTATTTAGGTTGACCTGACAGAAAGGACAAAATGTATTAATGGGATTAAACCAAATGAGGTCTGCGTAACACCATGCCTAATAACCAGCAGTAATTAATATAAAAACAACATTAGAAGCATTTTAACTCACCTCTGAACATGCTAAGTGTTTGACATTTTTAAACCAGTCAACATGTGCACGGCAGTGATCAAAAGCATGAATCAATTCATGTGTGACCACCCGGTTCATATGGGATTGCTGGCGAATGTTGTTCTGACACAGAACAATCTGCAGAAGAAAAGATAGATGTAGTCTTATCACCAAGTTTCAGCATCTCCCTTACTTCTCAGAGACCCAGCACGTACCACCTACGGCATTTAGACTCTTTAGATCGTTGTTTTTCAACATTAATAGCCTCATCATTCTGCAGTGTACTAATTCCAATACCACGGAACATCTTTTGTTTATCTTGTTTTCATGATTAAGTCAGATATCAGCATTAGCAAATTTAATCCTAGTAACAAAACGCTGAAGAAAAATGCAGTCATTTGAAGGACAATGTCCAATGCCTACCTGAGATGTGGCAGAATCAAAACCTCCACTGACACAGCCATCACAGTTTTCACAAGAAAAGTGCCGGTCATTGAAGACAGTGCTGAAAGGCCCAAACAAACCAAGTTATAGGGAAGAATCTGAAAAAGACCAGTTATTCTATATAACAGTGATGTTACTACACAGAACAAGATGAATTAGTTTACATACCAACCAGATTGCTTCATAGCCTCAAGAAGAAGTTGAGCATATGGATCTAGAAAAACATTGCTGCAATCAATTTCTCTACACAAGAGTTTTGAAAGCTATCTATAACAAAAATATGAAGACAGTCAAGAAAAACAGAAGAAAGAAAAAAGAAGAGTACTACACATGCAAATTCACACCTTAAAGTATTTAACCCTAATGCAACTAGCATCTGTTACAGCTCAGGCTACATAGTGATATAGAATCATGACAAACACAAAACTATTCAGTAATCGTCACTGCTGAACATTATTTTATTAGTAGTAGACATAAACAGAGTAACCTATAGGGACCACTGTTTTCAGTAACATTAACAGTCAACATCACATAGCGAAAAGGGCACAAATGAATCGGAAATCGACAAATCCTCCCAAATTTTCAAGAGAAAGAAGTAGGGAAGGACCTTCTGATAAGGAAAAAAAGCACACAGCTACTTTTGAGATTGTATCTTCTTTATCTTAACCAAAATCAGCGTGTTCGTCAAGCAGCAGCCCCATCCCACCAGCTGCCTGGGCCCCGTCCAGCCGCCCCGGGGTGGGCGGCGGCAGCGGGAGG